ATAATTTTTGTTATCGTGTAATGATGTATCGTGTTAATATAAATAATATAATGAGTTATAAGAAAATACTTAATCTTTTTAAGTAAAACTTTAGTTTCAAATATAGATGAAAATTTACGTTCTTTCTATTTCTTGATTATGTACATTACATATGGTAGTTCTCTTTGTCTTGAAATGTCCCAGCATCCAATAATGGTGAAACAACAATAAAGAACTCCTCCTTTTTCGTACCTAAAAGAAAAAAGAACCAATAATTTTCCCCATATGCTTCACCACAAAACATTAAAGCTACAAGAATCCGTATAAGGAGATAGACTTTGTAAATAATTTCATGAATACATTTAATGGTCTTCTTCACAAGTTGTGTTTACTCAATTTTATTTTTTCGGATATATTCTTAATGTATAAGATGAGGGTGTTACAATTAGAATAATAGAAACTCGAGTTATTTGCTTGGTGTAATTTCCTTATGCAATACAATAAATTATAATACAATAAATTATAATACAATAAATTATAATGACATTATATATTATTTAAATTTTTTCAAAACCATTAGTCAAATGTTCCATTACATATGACCATTAAGAATAAAGGTTGAAAGAGAATGTAACGTGAGAAAGATTATGCATTCTCCTTATATTAATATTAATAGATATAAGGTTGATTTAATTAGTTTAAAATATATATATATATATATATATATATATATATATATATATATATATATATATATATATAAAGGTAGCAGGTTCAACTGTCTTCGCCAACAAGTATTAATACTAACTATCTAAAAAAAATAAGAGTAAATTTATTAATAATGTCAGATTAAAATTACTTTGAATATTTTTTATTTATTTTTTATGATGTAAACATAAATATAATATTCTTAAACCAAACAAATTATTATCACTTCAGCCATTCACCTTTGACCAAGGAATTGTGTAGAGTAAAAATGAAAAGATGAGTAGTAATGACTCTCTAAGTTAAAGTGGTGGCAGCATAATCTTGGTTCAGCGGATGTAGATCCCAAGCACACACTTGACCTATTTTTACTGAGTGTATGCACTCAGTAAAATGTGTGAAATCCATTGCGGAGTGGAACATATCCTTTGCGTAGAATGTGTGAAATCCATTATGCATTTATTTGTTCAGAATACAAAGTGAAGTGACCATGTAAAAAGAGTGCAATTTACACACATCACAAAAACACCATAATGGGGGATATTTTATAGGATATTTTATTTTTAGAATAATGGGAGAATAGAATAAGTATATATATTGTTTCGGTTGTGGGATTGAGTCACTAAACACCTTCACAATTTGCTATCTTTTGTTGTTCGGTTTCGTTCTAAGATCCTCAGTCTCGCTCTTCCTTTTGGGGTGTACTTGTCAAAGGTCTTCTGATGCCAAAGTCATTATTTCTCGTTCGACAGTTCAATATAACACTAATAAATGCACAATAAATGTCATCTACCTACCTCTTATATTTGTCCTGTATTTATGATTTTTTGTCATGGGCTTGGATTAGTGAGATGTTAATCACGGTCCAATTTCAGCCCAATGGCTTTAATCGCTGATTACCTTAATCTTCGTGTAAGTTTTTTAGTTTACCGGTCGTTCGCCTTCGATAGTTCAGTTAGAGTGAAGATAGTTCTAGGACTGTCCGGTCAGTATTGATCACTTATTACAACCTTATCACCGTCCGGGTACACAAAGTTTATATGAGTTTAATTACACATAACGAGTATAATTTATAGATAATTGAATTTCTTCAATGTTTTTTGGTAGAAAAAGTTATGAAACTGGAAAGTGATCATTTTACCAGAAAAAATATTAATTTATTAATTCTTCCTAAAAAACAGAATTATCTTCGGATCGTTCTGATATATAATGTTTTAAATGAGGACTTTTCAAAGTATTAATCTTAGGGGTGAAGGAAAGAAAAAAAGAACATAATATATACTTGCATTTGAATCCTAGAACCATCCCATCAATTTAAAATATTAACTAATGACTAGTATCTCCCATTTTATAGTGGATGAGTAGGATGAATAAATATATAAGATTCACAGAAATTTTTTTGACCAAGAGAATATTTCGACTAACTTTTGTTTTTGTTTTTGATAATGACATTTATTCTCAATGAACTTTGGTGTTCATTCATTCGCAGATTGACCGTTATCTTCAGCTCCCAAATCACAGTTCTCTAACGTATAAAACATAACAATCATATTGCTGAATTGAGTGACGATACAAAGAAAATGTTGTGTTATAATATATTTTTTGGTAGGAAATAAACCAACAAGAGTAAACAATTGTTTCTGTAGTTTTCCAACGAATAACGTTCTCGGCATAAATTCTCTATGAATAAGACATTTTATAAAAGCCATTAGACTTTGCTTGATTGGATGGAGGATAGAGTCGACTAATTTTAGATCAACATGCTTGCTTTATTAATTTTTATTGAAACTATGAAGTTATAATCTTAAAGAAAATATAATTAAGTTTTCTATACAAAAAAACCTATCATGTCTTTGTTTGCAGGAACATTATCCACAAATGTTTTAATGTGTGACAGTTTTAAAGATTAAACCCCAAACACTACCACAGAACTTGGTGAAAGGTGTGGATGAGGTCGACCACCACGCAACCCTTGTTTGCTTCTACGTTTGTTAAACCTCTGCTTTTTAACATGGAAAAGAAGAGTTTTGGTAGATGAAGGAAGAATTGTGTTGCATGTATGATTAGTCTAATATGTTAATATGTTTCGTTAGGAAAGTTGACCTCTTCTTTTCTCTCTTTTAAACATTATTTTTGTCCCTTAAAATCATATTTATCACGTCTCACACATCGGTTGATCATATTTCACATTTTTAGTGGTATTACATTTGAAATCTTTAAGTAAACACAATAAGAAAAACAAAAACGCTGGGATTTTTTTTCCAAAATAAATCATTTCAATAAAAGTTTAATTAAATAATCTTTCTTTTATCTTAATTTTTATATCAGATATGTTGTAAATGTTGATAAAAATTAAAATAAATTATATTTTCTCATGTATGTATATTTAATATATTTAAGGATTTATTTTAGTGCTGTTTAAATTTTTTAAAATATTAATAAGAACTTTTTGAATTTTTCGAGAATTTTAGAATTAATAAAAAAATTCTAAAACATATAAATAAGTAACTTAAGATATTATAAAAGAAATATAAGAGAGAAAAGAGAATGAGAGAACGAGATAGAGAAACACAGGGATGGGAGTATGAAAGCGTGTGTTTTTGGAGGAAGCATAGAGCCTTATTTATATAGATGGAGGATGGGGCTATGATGGGTCAAAAATCCCATAACTTGTAGAGGAAACTTTTTGAAACAAATCCAACGTTCATACTACCGTAGCTTGGTAATTAGTATCATTGTTTTTATTTTGTTTATTTATCTTTTGATATTTTTATTATTACTCTTTACATAATTAAGGTTTTTATTTAATAAATGAAGAAATAAAAATAGTTGATTTTTATTTGTGAAAATATTGTTTCGATAAGTGGAAATATTTCATCTTAAAAAGTGTTATCAGTTTTAAAAAAACTGAGAAAACATTTCATTTTAGGACCTTTTTTTCTTACATCTAATCTAACAATTTTGTTGAGGCAAGTGCTCCCTCCACCACCACCAAATCCTTCCTACACTTCTCCAAACCTTCCTAATTTTTTTTTTTAAATTCAAAAGTACACTTTTTTTACTTTTAACTATATTTATTTACTTTTTTTTTACCCAAGATCAAACACCATGCCCTGCAAAACAAGTAACAAAAAATTAATGTTATGATGAGATCCTCACATTCAGAGCATCCATTGTCATGATTGTTGACTGCTGACTGGTGAACACAATAAAAACAAAAGGCTGCCAAGACACGAAAACCACATCAGTGAAACGATTCACATAAATTCATAAATAAATATAACCAAGAAATTAAAATTGCAATCAATCCGAGACAAATTGCTGAGACTCCAGAGATGTGAAGACTCGTAGCAAGGAAATTCGCGAAAAAGATTGTAGATTTTGCAGGGCTTTACATCTTCTGAAAGGCCAACGATGAAGAGGGTGCAAACCTCTTTTGTGGAGGGTTGAGGAGCACCGTAAGAACCGAACACGACTTGTTGTTGATGCTGAGCCACGTATGGCGGATGCCCATGGTGCACCGGCGGGACAACCGCGCTAGGTGGTGGTGGTGGTATCACCGCCAACAACGAAAGAGGTTGCGGAGGCGACAGTTGATAGTACTGGTGGTAACTGAGAAGGCCCGCCTCTTGGGGCTATGAGTTCACACGTGACAAGCCCTGGAATTTTGGTTTATATTTTTCTCAATTGTTTCATTTGGTTTGGGAGCTTAAACAGATGTCAACATCCATTTGTCCTTCGGAAGTCAACATCCGTTTGTCCTTCATCGCATATTCATATTCGTTTAAATATTATTCAAGGGTAAAAAAGAAATGGAGAGGTTCAGGGAACACTTTGTGGTGGTGGAGGAGTAAATCTCTTTTGTTGATACACTTTTACACTTTCTATGCATTTGGGCGTATATTTTATAATGGGTTTTCTCGAATGTAATTTTTTACAATATAAGAGGCCAGGTCAAAAATGCATGGGGTGTCACAAGAAAATTTGTTGATCTTAAGGGATTTGTTTTTTGTTACTAAAAGAACTAAGCAAATGATAGAGCCCAGCCCATCTCTAAAACGAGTTTACTATTTAGAAACGACGTCGTATGATCCGTTGTTTTCGCCTTCCCAGAAACCCTAATATGTTCCCTATAAATTCAGAATGTGCAAACAGTCCCCCAGAGCTTCCACACAGTTCTGCATCGGAGATACGGCGACACCTTCTCGGAGTAATAGTTCATTTAATATATTTTTTCATGACATCTTCTTCTGTGTTCATTACATATACCCGATTTATGTTTTATTTTTCGATGAATCTTTATATGAACCGTTTGAGATCACGGTGATGACTCCATAAAATTCAAGCTCAACAGACCGGAATGCAGAGCATTCTCTCTTTCGAGAGATAGCGTTGCGTGTCGACTACCCCGCTGAACTGAGTGATCTGTTCCATTTTTGTTTTCGATTATTATCTCAGTTACTGATATTCATGCCTTTGTTGAATTTTATATTTGTTTGTTTTCGTTCAATGATTATAAATTATGTTTACTGTGTGGGAAAGTGTCATCGCGATGAAGATGCCAAAGCTCCCTCTTCTGAGATTTGAATTTGAGGAAATTTGCTGGCAGAATCGAACCATAAAATCTTGGCCATCACTGAGTGATTTCTTTCCCATCTAATCTTTTTTATATAGATTTTATCCAACCTAATTTTTGTATAATATTGATTTAAATTTGTTGTCTAAAAGAAATTTTGAATCACAATTGAGGTCAGTGATGCTTTTAATTTGCCTACATTGGCTGATTATCTGGTTTATTATTTGATTGTGATGTTCTTTCAACAATCTGAGACCTCCATTTTGAATTGTTTCCGTTTCAAAACCAGTTGAAATCTGAGATTTCTGTTTTGATTTTTCGTTTTCATTTTACATGGCTTATTTCATGTTTATTCTGTTTTATAGGTTATATTTATTTTCACATTAAAATTTGTTATACATATCGTATTTTGTAAGTAAGTTATTAGAAACCATTTGTATGATTATAAAATAAAAGAAAATAAAAGAAGATTAATTATTTTAATTATTATTAAAATTAAACGAAGTTTATTTTTAAATATATAATGTAAAAGATAATATAATTAATAAAATAATTTATATTACTGTTTGTCATATATATATATATATATATATATATATATATATATATATATGTATTTATTTGTATTTTCCAAATGGATATTATTTTATTTTTATTAGAAAGACTGGCTATTTGAAAAAAAGTAATGAAGTTGTAAATTAAAAAAAAAAAGGAGAAGTGTTCGTAACTTTATATTGTTATAACATTGATAAATTAGTTTTTGGGGTTGGTAGATCATATATTTTAACTTTAATATTATAATATTATTTCGATGATCGCAGAAACATAAATTAGGCCCATTAGCTTGGGCCCTGACATACTATTTTGAATGTCCAGCCAAACATAACACTCACAGAAGAATTCATTTATGTGATTCACAGAAAAATGTATAGATAGAATCATTATTTTAAAGCATTCTATTGTTTTACTTAATTTAATTTAATTCACTTCAAATAATTTTGTAATTTCTAACATCCAAAAATATAGTCTAAACTATATAATTTAGAATAATCACATTAAATAATATAGTTTAGACTATATAATAGAATAATCACATTAAATAATAATCCAGATGAGTTTTGCTTATGGCCGAAAGGTCTTACAGGGTTCGGTCTTAAGGAAATGTTCATACAAAGCTTAATACTAGACTGACTATCTAGACTGTATGAATTTTGTGTAGCTACGACATTGGTGCACCCGGGTGATGTAATAACTAGGATACCCTCAACCGTTGTCACTCAGAGGTTAATACTATCTGTCCAAATTAACCATAAGAACTAGGACACTGCCACACATGACTTTACCAAATTCCAATATTCATTCATGAGCTATTCCAATATTCATTCATCAAGATGAACCGTCATTTTAACATCCCCACATTCATACTTTACCAAATTCCAATATTCATTCATGAGCTATTTCTCCCCGAAATGCTCGTCCATAATTCAAGTACATTTCATATACATCATATTTCATCATCTTCCATTTTACTAAGATCACTTAAGATACAAAAATACCGAACGTTCACTTATAATCCTTAACGAGACCGAACACTTGGACTGAGACCGAAAGTCTATAATAGATCAAAACCGAGGGAGAATTACCTTCGGGATTGGAAAGAAGACCGAGTACAACCATATTTCACAAGAAAGAATAGAACGAATGTTATTTACAAAGTGAGCCAATTTAATGAACTAACTCTTGAGAGTTGAAACCAAACGCCGACAAGCCCAGACCAAGTACTAAGACTCTAGGCCGAAACCAATGGGGACAGACACTTCAAGACGTTCAAAGACTAATACATCGAATAATCACATGGAGAAACCGAACGCTTATAAATACTTAGCTTATTTGAACTTAACATCATGAAACTGAATGACAGTCAAGGACCGAACACAGTAGAGAGAGTAAAATATTGAATTTAGACGAACGCTATTTTCATCAGGGTAGTTTATAGAAAAGAGAATGAGCGCTTGGTGTAAGACCCAACACTAAATAGTACGAACTCTTGGTGAAAGACCTAGCTCTAAATCGTATGAGCGTAATACTTACCATTAAATAAAAGTGTTTGGTGAAAGACCTAGCACAGAATAGTACGAGCATTTGGTGAATATGGGATATCATTTGACTAATGTTCAAGAACGAACGGACATACTACTACACAAATATACTTAATTTTATTCTAAAATACCAAGGAAAGGGTATCCCTAGTGGAACGTATGTACACAAATTGTACTAGACGAAGACGCTCGTCCTCAACGTAAATTCTTTCCAAATGATAGAATCCAGTTCTAAACGAGTCCCCTATAGAAACCAAACGGTCAAGGACCATTCAGTAGCGAACTAGGGAAATTTCATACTTAGAAATCATTTATCTCAACTCATTTCTCAACATTTATCTTCATACTTTCATATCATAGTAAATTTTCATACTTCATACAATCCTAGTATAGCAACAATCATATTAATTCAACAAACTCAACCAACATACATGCAACACAAGCATCATAGACATTAAATTAAATAAGTTTCCCTTACCTCTAAGGTAGCCGAACGCTCCCAGATACAGAATAGGGTTCTCCTCTAACTGAGTTCTTAGTGTTCTACGACACGTTTTAAGAAACTATAACAAACACAAGACCAGAAAATACTCAGAATGATAGGATCAACTCATGCAACCAAGAATTTGGGTTTGCATGTGACAGAAAACACACGAATGAGGGGGGATGAACTTACCAGTCCAAAATCCGAAACTGATTGGTTCAATCGGACGTCCTCTACGCCGGAAGAGCAAAAATGGTGCCTGAGTGGTGATCGGAGAAGAGAAATGGTGGTGAGATTTCTTAGAGAGAAGAGGGAGCTTTTAGTGAGAAGGAGGAGAAATGAGATTTTTAGGGTTTGGGGAAGAATGGTGCATGCAAAGAATGTGACATGAATTTTCTGAAAATTCAAGTTTTGCTTCCCACGTCAAAACGGACGTCCGCTCATATGCCAACACATACCCTCCACCAACTGAGTGTCAAGCCCTTCGCTTGACACATGAAATCCACTAAAATGGCACGTGCGTGTATTTTAGTGGTTCTGACATAATTTATTTATAATATTTTATTAATAAATATTAAAATCCTCTCGCCTTGTGTTAAAAAACTAATTTAGTCTGCTCTGAAAGGGATAAGACGGCAGAAATGTTTAGTTTTAAAAGAGCAACAATATAGTAGAAAAGACACTACATAAAATTGAGAAAAAAAAATACTAAAAAAGTGCATTCTCATTATATTATATAGATTTAATAAAACTGGGAGTAAAACAAAAACATGTAATAACTATTTTCTTTTTCACACTCTTGTCCTAAAATTTCTCAACATCTCATAATTAGAAAATACCTATCCGTTGGAGAAGCTATTCTTTTCATCCATGAGAAGTTGGTACTTCCAACTTGACTACTACTCAATAGTTTTCTTTTTTCTCTAATTTTTAATTATTCTATTTTAATCTTCAATTATTTAACTTTAAAATTAATTATTAAAGTTTTTATAATTATAAATTTAAAAATGTTTAGAAGTGAACGATTAATAATTAATTGAAAGAACTAGAAACATTAAAAAGAAATAGTTTAAGTAAATTGTTAAAAATACTTAATTATTAAGTTAATGATATAAAATTTGGAATAAATATAAATAAATTATTGAGTTCAACGTTAGACTCAACCTTCTAAATTTCTTTGATTAAAAGCGAAAATTAATTAAGTATAAAGTTAAAATTAATTCATAAATATGATAATGTTAAGTATGTAGATTAAAAAATAAAGTCAAATTAAAAGTATGAAAGACAATAATTAAAAGAGACATCAAATACACGAAAAACGTGTATAACATTTAAAAATTACCGTATGAATTAAGATTATGAGTCACTCACCCGAAACAGTGCACTCATTTCTTTCTTTCTTTTTATTACAATTAAAGTCATATATCAAAGTAAATTTGCATAATTTATTTGTGTTTTCATTGTCGATGAAAATGATTTGATTTTTTTGTTATAAGAAAGTATGAAACCATCCCCATTAAGTTAGTGATTAAAATTCATGTTAACAAAATATTAATGAATATTATTAATTTTGGTTCATATATATATTGTTTAAAAATGTAGTTGGAAGGTAGTTTGTAACTGTTGGAGTCAACCCTTGGTATGAATATTAATGAACGTATTTGACAACTGACAAAGATGGGTAATGACAAATTCTAACACATTCTTTTCCCACCACATAATATCAACATAAGTCTTCTCTTCCGATATAATTACATAACAAAATATCACAAACCTCATATCAACATTTTTTTTTTATATAGTTTTGTGTTGATTAACTAGAAATCAATATGTACAGTTGGAAATTGAATGTTTTTTTCTAGATCACTAACAAATATATTTTTTCTAATTCAAGCGGAAAGGAATGTATTACTCCATATCAACATTTTTTTATAGTTTTGTGTCGATTAACTACAAATCAATGTATATTATTTGAATTTGAGTTCTTTTTTCTGGATAGCTAATAAATATAAATTTTCAAATTCAAGTAGAAAATTATAATAATATAAATTGGAACTATATAACGAAATACTCTTTTCAAAATGATGAAGGGATGCCTTACTTCAAGTATAAGTCTCAAAATTAATTTTTTTTAAAATACTTTATATAGTCACGTTATTTAAGTTAAATACAATTAGAATTTTCACATTTATTAAAGATAAAATCAGTTTAAAATATATAAATAAATACAAATTTTATTTTATACATTAATTTTGTAAAATTGATTC